CTGAGGCCCTGGGTTCAATTCCTCAGCACCACATAAGCAAAAAGAAAAAAGCTGGAAGTGGCGCTGTGGCTCAAGTGGTAGAGTGCTATCCTTGAGCTGAAGAGCTGTGGAACGGTGCCCAGGCCCAGAGTTCAGGCTCCACTACTGACAAAAAAAAAAGAAAAGGGGAAGGATGGCTTGACCCCAAGGTCAGGACTTCCCAGTCTAGGGCAGAGACTGGGTATTTAGGAAGTGCAGAACAGAATACTGAAGTGAATTCATTCTGGGTGGACTGGGTAACCCGAAGTGTCTGTGGGCAAGGTAAGAGGAAAGGAGAGGGTTAAAAGGAGAAGAGTCGTGACCCTGGAGGTTTCAGAGTTGATACTTTTCCAGTTTGGGACCAAGATTTCTGATGGAGAAATGATCCCATTCTACAGCTAAAGATGCTGAAGTCACCAAACTCTGGTCGGTGACAGAAGTAGGATCTGATCTGGGTGGTATTTTTGCTGTCCTGTGTGCTAGCTCACATTCTGTCTTTATTTTTCAGGTCTACTTTAGCAAAGTTGACTGAGTGCCAGGAGAGACAGCAGGAGGGGAAGGAGGCGAGTTCAGCAGAGCAGATAGGCGAGAGGGACAGGCTCCTGGTGGGCCCCCCAGCTGCTACCCTAGGGAGGCGGGACAGCTGGACCTTCATGTCTTCCTGTTGGGCCAAGAATCTCTTCAAACCAGAATAGCACTCGCAACAGCGTGCAGCCCCTATGCCCTGCCCTGCAGCACACTTCGTATCCTCTGTTCCACACTGGGCCAGCCAGATACTCACCCTTCACCATCACTCACCATGTCTCTGTCACACATCTCACAGCCCCTCACATGCCAAGGCCCAACCACCCTTCTGTGCCTCATCGCCCACTCATTTCTCACTTGCCTGTACACATATTGGGTTCCTTCCACTCACCTAGGACCACAGTCAGCTGTGTGCCCGGCTCATATCCTCTTACACTGTGCCTACAGAGTGCATCAGATGGCTTCTGGAAATCTGTGGCCACTCGAGTGCCCAAGGAGCCTCCAGAGATTCGCATCCTCAACCCGTATTTCATCCAAGAGGCCGCCTTCACCCTCATCGGACTGCCGTTCAACAATGGCCTCATGGGCCGGGGGGTAAGACACGTGGATTCTTGAAAGAGGGAGGAGAAGGAGGACTGGGCAGAGGTGAGGAAGGAAGGAAGAGGTGGCAGGGTGGTTGGCAATCCTGGAAGTAGTTTTGTGGGGAGGAGGGCTTAGAAATGGAGCTGAGTTAGCTCTGAGGAGCTCATGTGAGATCTCAGCCCTCCAGTGGAACTCTACATTCCTCCTCTCCTCTCCTTCTCCAGAACATCCCGACCCTTGGCAGTGTAGCAGTGACCATGGCACTACACGGCTGTGATGAGGTGGCTGTCGCAGGCTTTGGCTATGACATGAGCACACCCAATGCACCCCTGCACTACTATGAGACCGTGCGCATGGCAGCCATCAAAGAGGTTCGGGCCTGGGCTTGGGGGCATTCCTCGGCAGAGCCAAGGGAGGGGGCTTCCAGCACAGAGGACAGGTTCTGACTGCATGCGGACACATGAACGGTAATGGGATGAGCCAGTTGCTCTGGCTGCCCAGAACTCCAAGGCCCTGCCTACACTTAGCTAAGCAGTCACTGTCAGTTCATGCTGCGTGCAGGACTTTGACCAACAAGATCCTATACTCCCAACCTCCCCGTAAACCCACACTGCCTTTCTGGAGCTGGACTCCTGCCAGGATGCCTTCTCTGCCCTTGCCCTGTACCTGGCCCCTCCTTACTGCACCCTAGCAACGTATTTGAGACTTGGTACCAATTCACATCATCCTTTTCTATGATCCCTGCCTTCCCTCCAAGGAACATCACTTCATCCATCCCAGAAAGGTCCTCACTCCACACCTCCTCTCTGGAACCAAGCCCTGGTGCTATTTATCACCTACAATTGCTGCCCGTACATTGGTACTCCTAAGGTGCCAGTTCTCCTGGCAGCTTTCTCCACAGTGAAGATCCCACATAGAAACTGAACTCTCTTACACCTTAACTTCTGCCACAGCTTCCCACTGACCCCAGCCTGGAGCCTAGAGATCATGGGCAGGTGCCCTGAGCAGCTTTTCAAAGCACATCTGGAGTGGCTGAAAGAGAAATCACTCATCAGTGCAGATCTGTATTTCTGTGAATCCAGGACTCTGGTCCTCACCAGCCCTCATTACCTGCCTCCCTCCAGTGAGAAAGCTGAAGCTGTACAAGGAGCCTGATTGGCTCCCATTTCGGGTCCTTTGTACTCCTTACTGCCACTCAGCCCTTCATCCCTCCTCCTACCTGACATGATTTCTCACAAGGTCACCAGTGGCCTAGCTCAAGGCTTCCCAATCCAGTGGACACAAGTGGACAAGTGGTCTTTTTTTTTTTTTTTT